TTCTTACAATGAAACTCATTTAATAAGAGAATGAGAGAACTGTAATCTTTTTTCATGTTAAAAGAATTTCGTTTTAAAGGATATTGCAAAAAAACCACATATTCAACAAAATTAAGTTGGTTAGAGTACATTTTATTTACACAGATATTTATATATGCATGTGCATTTAATAAAAATCCATGAAAGTAAAATATTTGTAAGATCTTAATAAAATTGAATACAAAACTTTCAAGTTTATTGAAGAAAAAAATATTTATAAATTTTTTGGAAAATAATCTGATATTTTTCGTTGTATTATCCTTTTTAGCATTAAATTTTCAACAAATTGTTCGATGCGGTCCATTTTTTATTCATTTAACCATTGGAATGAGCTTCTAAATAACTGAGCATATTTTTTTCATGAAGTTCTTTTTACTGTGCATTATAAATTTCACTTTCGTCATCGGATTACGCTTCAATGATATCTTATGAGCTTTGAACAAACTCCAAAATGCCTTTGTCTGCCATAATTAGGGCTGTACGCAGAATCTCAACATTTATTGCATCGAATTCTTCCGATGATACAGTTAGACAGTCCAATAATACAGAAACTTTCTCAGATATTTCATTAAGTGTCGGCTCAGTTTCAATATACGCCTGGTGTTTTCCGAATTTTGTTCATTTTTGGAAGGATAACATTTTCATGTTAAGCGATTTTCATTTCTTGTTAAGAGAAACAAATGCATGAAGATGCATGGTAGTCTGTTGGGACCATAGTATTATTTCGTGAAAACCGATATTTTGTTTTAAGCGTTTTCATGTTAAATGTATTTTACTGTAATTATTTTAGGTTTTACATGTTAGACACTTTACTCGAAAAACCATACAAAAAAGATGCAATGTTTATAATATAAAGGGGGAATATGTTTCTCGTTATAAATAAAAAACGAATTAATTTTAAAACCATGTAAAAGATATAAAAAATCAATGTTTATTTTTTGACATGTATATTTTTGTTTATATGTTTAGGAAAGAAAAAAGAAGAATTATATATAAAGAGTGCTAAACATTAATAATTAAATTTTCATGTTACATGTTGATTATAAGTTGATGTAATTTATTATACAGTAAGGCCCATATTAGAAATTCAACCACAACTGTTTAGCTTGAATTCAGTCTCGTTCGGAAATACCGTATTTATTCGAATCTAAAACACCGTTGATTCTAAGCCGCACTCTAAATTTACAACAAGATTTTCTAAAGAATGAAAAAAGTGTAAAATTGTTTAGTAATATATCGAATTTTACAAAATTAAACTAAATTTAAAATGATAACTAATAAGTAACTAATTAGTTATTTTATCAGTATTATATACTTGTGTGTGTGCTATCAGTATACATGAACCTGTAATTGCTCTAAATACCCCATCCATCAACTATTTATTCCTTGGATTCCAAGCCGCAAACGATTTTCAGTAGTATTAACAATGGGGAAAAAAGTGTGGCTTAGATTCAAATTGCAGTAAATTATTCTGAGCAGGGGAACGGCTTTCTGAAGATACTGGTGTCCAGCTAAACGCATTTTCACTTATCATTGGAATTTCTGTGCATGTTATAACACTGAATATCTGGGTGATATAGGTTAAAGATTATTACTTATTTCCCAGATTTCTCCAAGTTTAAGGCCTTAGAAAAAGAGACCAGCAGTTTATTAATGTGAATCCCTTACTTCATCAGTAAATTACTTTACTAGGATCACAACCAGTGATCCTAAATCGTGTTAAAGAAAATCAGACGTGTATTAAAAGAAATATACTAAAATAAAAAAATTTCTAGGAGTATTTTATTTCAAAAAATTATTTTAAGGAACCATGTGCAAAAAGAATAAGATGAAATTTATTCTCAATTGAAAAATAAACTGTATACTATTTGTGATTTGCAATTACTTCAAAAAGATATTTTTTCACTTCTAATTTTGAATTTTCAATGCTAGAACTTTTTCATTGCATTATTAATTGATTTTCTTTCAAAACTTTTTTATAACTGTTAAATATTAATTATTTTTTTAATGGAAAGAAGAGAAATATTCCAATTAATCTTGTATATTTGTGAATTTTAATTGAGCTATAGATTTTGTTTGCAATGTAATAAACTTCCTAGACAAAATTTCATTGTAAAACAGATAACAAAAATGAATTATTATGTGTAAAAAAAGCATTTCCTCAATTTTTTAAAAAATTTGCACTGTTTAAAAATGTTTAATACCTACCCACAAATGTCCAGCTTAATCTGAATTGTGAAAATCTAAAAGTCCATTTTGATAGAAAAATTTAAAACTATAATTCACAAAAATATTCTTTTTTATGTATTTTAATCATCAACTTCAAGTACAACTTCCTCTAAAATATATCGTACGAGAGTTATTTTTTTCTTGCCGTGCATTTATCTCAAAATAACGTTAGATACTTTAATTTTCAGGTGTACGCAAAGCTGCTAAATTTTCAGATATTGTGAAGCATGTTATTCAGATAACAGAAAGAGAAGCGTTGTTTTTGAAAAAACAGAGTTTAAAGGTACGTACACTTAGAAATTTTATTAATTTAAATAGAATTTCAACTAAAATTTTGTTTAAAATACACGTGTAAAACTCGAAATTCTAAATAACAATTAGCTCATTATACTGAATTTTTTTCACGTCTACCCGATTGTGCAAAAACCAGTAATAGTAAAATGAAACTTACAGGAATAAGAATCAAGGCATACAAATCAGCCTATAAATGTCCTTAACATGAGATCTGCTGTCCAACTATTGAAAAATTTAATTTCTCTACACAGTTTTACACACCTCGCAATGTGCTCTCTAGATGAAAATGATGTTTTTGATTAAAAGCTGGTGTCCTCAATTTTTTTTCTGATATCGAGGGTTTTAAAGTTTGAAGGATTCACGGAGGAGTTTTGAATACGATTCTTGTCTATGGCAGTTCAAGTATTTTCTTTTGGATTTAAGCTCTATGGACTCACTAAAAAGTGAATATCCTCTATCTACAAAAAAATTGTCCACCAGTTAAACTCCCAGTAAATTTGAAATCACGACGTCCGTCGCAAATAGCCGTCGTGTAGCTGAATCGTGCGACATTAATATTCACACACTCATTTAGTAAATTTGCGTTATTTTCCTTAAGGTATCCGACTACCCTAAAATTGTACATTTTGCAAAAACTGACAAACCTTTTTATGATTTTTTTATTATCCAGAATATTTGCTTGAGAAAAATAATAAGTTTATTAATTTCCGTTCACAAGAACAAAAACTACAAGTGTTGTAGTAAAAGCAGATGCTATTACTTAAAGCAAGATGCCATACTTTTAAAACGCTTTTTACTCGAAATGTGTGTTTTTTAAATGCTCAAACGGGGACAGCAAATGCTAAAAAAGTTTTGAAAACAATTAACTGAAATTTTTTGTGTATGTTCTGTATAACAGTAGAAATGTTTTAACCATCAGATTTATCAATCACTGTTTTATTACAAGATTTACAGTCCCTTATGTGAATATAATAACTGTTTTTTAAGCAATTTCATACAACTAAGATAAAGCTCTCTAATTTTTGTAAAACTTAAAGGATCTCTTATCCTGAAAGTCATTTCAAAAATTAATAACATAGAAACACATCAGAAATGAGAAATTGAAAGCTTGCCCTTAAGCGTGCGGTATAAAATGGACTCCGTTTATGTTACTTTTCGTAAATCTTTACCAATTTCGTCGCCTTTTAGTAATAATAATTTGCTTTTTTCTTCTTAATTTTGGCATATTTTTCTTAAAATGTACTAAACAAATCTAAAAAATTACAAAAAAAAAATCCCCATATCTCAATTTTTTTTAAAGTTGTTGCAAGTAGTCGGATACCTTAAGAAGAAAGATATCTCAATATTTTGCCGAAAGATATTACATGTATAAGTACTTCATTCTTATAACATTATATAAAGTAGTTTCTATATAAGAGATTTATGAAAATGTTTCTCGTTTCAAAGTTATTATTTCCTACATAAGGACAAGCACTACTAAGCATTTCATTATCACGAAAGTTATCACTTTTTTCTGATATAGATGAAACAACAGAGGGTTCAAGATTTTCCTTTGAGGATTCGATGAAAATCTCTATGAATTGAATATTTATCAATGAAAATAGGCATAATCCTTATTTTTATGTATTCAGAGTAATGGGAATTTTAAATCAACTGAAGTTATTTTCTGTAATATTTTAAGAAATAGCATAACTTGCATTAGCCAGAAGTAAATATTTTCCTTCATCAGGTTTATAAGTTTACCTGAAAGTTATCTACCAGAAGCAGTAGACAACTCAAAACAGATTTCTGACTCAGCGTTAAGCGTTTAGTGTCGTGTATTGACCTTCAGCAGTTGCCATAGCTTGTGAACGCGATGTTGAACAACTTACTGGTGACAATACCCTATAGCGTAAAATTGATTCCTTAACTTAGATACCATCATTTCAGAAATACTTAATAACCAAATGGCGTGCGTTTGAGACTAATCAGTTTTAAATGTAATGTTTGCCACCCATTTTAGTATATCATATATATAATCGGATATATGATTTCGGAAATTAATTTTTACTGTAAGCCAAAAGATTCATTTTCTTTGTTGTGGGTAAAACACATCTCTATAGATAGAATTAACAACTTAAAATAAAAACCTTTTTATAAAACAAATGTAGTTTTAAGTGTTTGACAAGTATCAGTTATTTTCATATAATTCGACTCTCCTAGTAATATATAAAAAAATAAATTCCTACATAGGCTAACCAAGAAAAAATTTTAGTTACTTTTTATTAAATAATTACAGTAAGTATAAATATGTATTTACATATGACAGAATCACAATATTAAATGGCAAAATAGAAAGCATTTTTTTCCTTTTCCTTTTTATATATGGGGGTATCTGCCTATTATTTCGTTTGTTACTATTTATTCATTCATAAAAATCGCATTCTTAGAAATTAAGTCATCCCAGGTAGGATTCGAACCCACGACCTTTGGATTTGAATTCCAATGTTCTACAGTGGCAAAGTGAACAAATTTCCTTTTTATATGTAGTGTTGGGCTATTATTTTTGTTTGTTACTGTTTATTCATTAGTTAAATTAATAAATTAATATTTGAAAAAGCTGTATTAACGTCAAGTGCGATCCACTACAAGTTTAAAAAATGTACTTGAACTTGAATGGGTGAAGAAAAGGTATTTTATTATCGATTGAAAATTTGTGAACAAGGTATATAATTAAATAAATATATATAGGGAAAGTGTGACACACACACACATACAAATAATAGGAATTGAAAAAAAGTATGCTAATTTGCGATTAATTTGTTAGAAAACGCCGGAACTAAACTAAAATACTGGTTAATTTCTTAAATGTTTGTTTTTTAATACGTAAGACTCAATGCCAAAAATATCTAATATACGAAAGAAAATTGCATATTATATCAATTATAAGTTTTCTAACATTTTAGAGATTATCAATTATGAATCAAAATTATTATCTTAATCCGTGATTGTTTGGATAGTTAAAAATTAAATCAAAAAATTTCACAAAGAATTTTGAATTTTTAGAGATTTGTTTTGTAGTATTTTACCACAACCGCCGAATTAAATTTCTTTAATCGCAGAAGATGACTTTCTTTCAATTAAACTTTAAGTTAATTGTGGAGGATTACCTTGTAATTAAACATGCATATGACAGCAAAAGCCCCCCAAAGACTCATGTGATTTATATTTCAAAACATCAATTCCTTAAGTTTCTTATAACCTCAATAATGTTAAGCAATATTCAGTATTGTACATTATTAATCGTATTATATATTATTTTGCTTATAAAAAGTTAGCAGAATTTTTCATATTATTCCTATAAATTCTAAGTACAATAATACCTTGAACTAACACGATAGGTGAAACTAAGCGATAAACGCGTGAGTCGGGTATGATTTCGAATATAAATACATATAAATTATTTTTATTTGGGGCCGAAGACGGAAGAAAATAATAAAATTTAGAAAAAAAAATATTTTCTTGGGAAACACACATACAAAGTCACAATCCAAAGTTATTTTGATGTATAAGGTTTCATAAAATCTAACAAAATTGTTTGCCGGCTTAAAGATTTTTTTTCTTTCACCAAAATTTCCTCATAGTAAGCTAATAATTTTTCTATTCCTTGTTTTGTTGAAAAAATACACTCTTCTTTGAAGTCTATATTTCCTGAAATTTGTAACCCTTTTTCATTTAAACTCTGAGGCCTTCTGTTAAATTCCCAAACCTCATTCGATCTTCTGATTGAACTGGGTCTAAAGAATCAAATTCTTCCATGTCATACTCTTGCTCATGCATTTCTTTGAGATCGCATTTGTCAGCACCTGACCGTGAGAATTCAGCAGTTCTTGAATGTCATCACTATCCACTTATAAATTTATTTGTCTGGCAAGATCGGCAAATTCTTCAACCATATGATCACAATTCTACTAATTTTATCATTCTTTTATTTTCTCAAACAAAAGAGAAATCGACGAGAGATTTGAAAATCACGTAACTCCAGATTTGCGTATGTCGAAGTGGCATACGTCGAGGTATTACTGCATATTAAATGTGTATCTAGTTTTCAATTAAAGTTAACATTGCCAAAACAATATAGTTGTGCCAAAGTGTTTTGAAGAATAATAATTTCTCAAAATAGTGTCATCTATATGTAATCCTAAGCAAAAAATAATAGATACGTTTGAAAGTTCTATAAAAAAATTGCATTATTTTGTAGGAACTTGAGTTTATAGTATATAATAAAATTTTACTCTTCGTAAGGAAAAGCTTACAATTTTTTTCCTTGAAATTCTCTTCTAAAACTTGTCTATTTTAACTTTATTAATAATGAATAAAAATTATATTTTTATCTGAAAAATATTATAAAATATTGTTCAAATCTTCATAGGTAGGTAAAGAGTTACCTGGAAGTGTATATATAGTAGATTTCAAAGATCTACCCTTTTCTACGGCTACGGATAAGAAAGGCAAGTGAATTTTTTATTAATATCTAAAACAGCACAAAATAGTCAAAAACGAATAACTAATCCTTAAACTTTAAAACATTTTCATGCTATTTTAAAATTCTTATCACGTAACGAATAATTATGTTATGTTCTTAAGTAATATTGTCTTTTTCCTCAAAAAAGCAAATTATGTTTTTTAATTGCCTGAACATCTCAGCTATCCAGAACATACATTTTTTAAAGAATTTATATTAGGGTGGATGGAGCAGTTATTTGCAGGGGGGGGGATAATTATTAATCGGGACCTACATACGATAAGTGGCTGTTAAATGACGAGACTGAAGAGAGACTATACAGCAATTTATTTTGATTTCATATATATTTAATTACTGTTACCTTCAATATATATACACCCTTCCTCTATCCGTACAACGCTCCATGCGAATCTCCCATTGTTTAAAACAGTGCTGAAAGTCTTGTGCCAGCGGCTTCAGTACGTGTGCCGCTTTCTCTTTCACAGATTCAATGGATTCAAATCTTGTTTTTTTATGTCGATTTCACCTTAAGAAACAACTAGAACACGCATGGGGCAAGACCCGGCGAATATAACGGATGGTCTAACACTAAAACGCTGTACTTAGTAAGAAACATCTTGGCAGATAATGCGGAATGAGCTGACACATTGTCTTGGTGGAGAACTTTTGATTTGTCCTTCCATAATTCGGGTGGTTTCTTCCTTATTCTCTTATGGACTTCAGTAAGAACGTTAAATTAGCAGCCCTGATTAATAGTTTCACCTTCAAGAAAGGTACACAATCCTATGAATATCAGAAAAAAACAATCATAAGTGCTTTGAATTTCGATTTATTCATTGAAGCATTTCTAGCTCTTGGTGAAGATGGGCTCTTCACACATTTCAGAATTATATGTAAAAAACCACAATTCATCCCAAGTTATTATTCTTTTCAATAAGTTCGGGTCATTTTCAAAGGCATTCAAAGTGTTAGTGCAAACATTTTTGCGATTCTGTTGTTCAAACTTGAGATTAGTAGACATCATTTTGGCGCACATTTTTCACCTGTCAAAACTATTATGTGAAATTTGCTGTGTGGATTCTTTGTCAATTCCTATAGCCTCAGCAACCGAACGAAAACTTAACCGACTGTCAGATCGAACCAGATTACGAATACTTTCGATACTGTCATTCATGATTGACGTGAAAGAACGATCCAGACATTAATGTTCCAGCTTCAACGTATTCTCGGCCATTTTGAAAATGCTTTTTTCCCAAGTTTCTTGTGAAATTTCACAACAGTTCGTTGTTGTATTGTTAAACTTATCATTTTCCAGCAAAGCAAAGAAATAACTCTAATTCGAACGAAGACTACGGCTATACAGATTTAATTTTAGAAAACCGAATGTTGGTGGAACTACATTATCGAAAGAGATAGGCCCTTGTACGCATAATTAGCTTGGTTCGTCGTCCGTTGGCATTATGGGATCCAATATGCTTAACTATTTTCCGTAGCACAGCGTCAGTAACGTTATTTAATAGCCACACCTCGTATGTGAAAATGATGTTCTATGGCATGGAGATTAGGAGGAAAAAAATTTTAAAAATGATTTCCAAATTTAATATTGCCACAAAGAGTCTTAATTTTCGATTAAATGACTTGATTTTAGTCTCAAAATACCATTAATTTTCAACAGTATAAATAACCAGACACTATGATTATTGATAAACAGGTAGTGAATAGTATATTTTGCAGGTTTTCAAAATCTAAAATCTCTTTTCCCGCACCATCGAATCAGTCCAGTTTAAGCCTTTTTCGGACGTCCGTTTTATAATACACTATAATTTCGACAAGTTTTTTTTTAATTAAATTTATACAAAAGGAGATACTAAATATATCTGGTGGTTTAATTTAATTTATTAATTTATGTATTTTTGCAAATATTTAATAGGTGTCCTCTTATCACAATAAATGTTAATAAGAACTAAAATACCTGCTTTTTTAATAAAAATTATATTGATTTTCACCATAAAAAAGCTCATACCTAACCAACATTACTCCTATGGCAATACTCAAAATAAAAATTTATTTTTTATTTTATTTTTCTCTTTACTTATATATACCAGAGAACAAACTTTCCGCATGGGTAGATTTTGAAGTTTTGAAAAAAAAGGTTCGATCCACACTAATGTATGCTTTTAATATTTATATACTATTATACATTATATATTCTATTATTATTTATATATTTATTTGTTTTTATTCACCCAGAATAGTGTACTGTTTTTGTATATAAAACTAAAGAACCAAGTCTAAACTTGCATATACATTTTTTGAAATTATATTCCACTGTTCTAGAAGAATAGAAACAATGCAGCAAAAATATATAAATATTTTTAAAAGCTAAATAATAATTACAATCGAAATCAACTTCTTTATATTAAATAATGTTATCTGGCTTTTTTTAAAAGGAATTGCAATTTTAGAGTTAATGTAACTCTTTTAATTTTCTGGAATATAAATATATGCTTTGTTATTTAATGCACCAATTATGTTTTTTTAAATATATGTAATTCGATAACTCAAAAGTATAATAGTTACATTTCTGAGATTTTAAAATTTTTAAACAAAGATGCGTTTTATTTTAAATTATATGTCAAAGTCACACACTATACTATTTTTATAACATTAATTGTACTTAAATAATGGAACAAATGATCACTTTTAATTTTTTGTTCTATAAGGAAAAAATTGCAAAGGATTTTATAATTTGAAATTAAAGATAAATGAAACTCATCTACATGCATCTTTACAGCAATTGAACATACCATTTATCTTGCAAAAATGTATCAAGATAATTATCCAGAAATGTTGAAGTCAGCTTACGTCATCAACAGTAAGATATTTTTTGTGAAAATTTTATTTTTGTGTAATTTTTTACTGGTATGAATATAAAAATACATAAAAAAATATATTAAAAAAAATATCAAATGAAAAATATCGAAACATTTTTTTAAATAATTTTGTGT